CTGGGGTCTTCCTCCTCCTACTCATGTCCTCTCTGGGGTCTTCCTCCTCTCCTCCTCCTGTCCTCTCCAGTGCTGCCTATTGATCCCAAACTCAGCACGTCATGAAGATGCCCCCTCCTTCTGTTCTCTTTGCAAGCCCCCGCGGGGTGAATGGAGTGGGGGTGGTGGCAAAGTGGGTAGGCAGGGAGCAGACCATTGTCTCCAACACCTGGCATCCCATCATTCCCCCAACCCGGCCAGATTTAGCCTCTCGAGCCCCACCTCGAGTCCGAACCTCAAGTCCTGTGTAGCTCAACCAGGAGACCCTCTACACCCACCACCTTTGTAAGTCCTGATCCTCCCCATATCACCCCCCACCTCCCCAACTCCCACCCAATACCACACGTGCCACCTCCCCTTCACCTCAGTCAGCTTCTTCGAGTGTGGCCCTCGCTCCGGTACCCCCAAACCCTCCTCCCTCCCTCAAGGAAGAGCTGCTCACTCACCTCCATTTCCATCTTCCCCCTTCTCACACCACCATCCCTCCCACCAACCTCCAAACCCTGACCCCGACAGGGAGCCAAGAACGTTTCGTTCTCGACCTACAGGAGGCAGAAGCAGGAGGACGAGCAGCAGGGCCTCGGGATGGAGAGCAAGTCGGAGGAAAATGAGCAGGAAGATCCCACGGGAGGCAGCGACACGGTGGGCCTGGTGGTCAGGAGATCCCTGATCCAGAAGAGAAGCCTGCTCTACCTGGTGCTTGGGACCCTTTTCCTCCTCATCATTGGTAAACACCATCATCAATAGTGGAGGTAGGGGGGCGGGGAGCAGGGGGCCGCACTTGATGGTGACCATTCAGCCCAGCGACTGACCCACACCACCCCACCCGACCGGGCCACAGCCCCGTGGGTTGTTGCCATCGGCCGATCTGTGTGGGATCTTCCTGTGCATCCTGTCCCTGGAGGTTGCAAAGCGGATTGTCGTTTATTCATTTATCGTTGTGGGGGTGGCACAGTGGTTAGCACCGCTGCCTCACGGCACCAGGGACCCGGGTTCGATTCCACCCTCGGGCGACTGTCTGTGGAGTTTGCACATTCTCCCCGTGTCTGCGTGGGTTTCCTC